AATACATTGGACGAGCAGTATGGAGGAATACTGAAACGACCTTTCTGCCTCGGGCGCTGGGCACCTCCATTATTTGAATGTCAGCAGACAGCAAGAAGCCTCCCAGATCTCCAGATGCATTTGAGATATCAAAAAAGTACTCCAGGGTGTTGTTCAGCATGGGGGTGAGTAGAAAATGAAGGCTAATCATGTTTTGGGTGTACTATTCCTTTAATATTTAAAGTCAAACGGATACATGACGTACCTCCTTGGCTTGCAGCGGGAACTTTGGCTGCAGGTAGAGCCGGACCCATGGCTGTCTCCTCCCTTTCATCTCCTTTAAAACCCTTAGGATCTAAAGTCGGAGTGGTGACCGTCGCATCCGTGTCAGCAGTAGGTGCTGGAGCGGAAGTGTGCTCTTCTTCAGGATGCCATGTGCAGATGTGAACTTGGGGCTCGGCTGTGGTGGGCTCTCCTCCACTTCCCTCTGATCCTTGATCCGCTGGTGGGATTCAAACACACACAAAGAAGTGAAAATCAAGATGTATCAATTCTTTAGAAAGAAAATGCTGATTCAAGCACTTTTAAACCTTTATCTAATTTCATTTGCAATCTGAGCCTTTTAGCCTCCATTCAATATTAACTGCGGTTAATTTTGTTAAAATGTACTTAATTAAATAAATTCACCTATTATATTTACCCTTCTTATTTTCCTAATGTCAAAACTCATCTTATTCAGCTGACATAAAAAACATAAAACTATTACAATACAGTAGCTTTACAATCTAAAGGTGTGTAACATGCTTCAAGTACTTGTAAATTCTTGCTCCTTGGCGATCTCATTGACGGGAGGCTCTGCGCTGTATTCCTGATCAGACCGAGACTCCTGGGCGGTCGGGGTTGAAGGCTCCTGCTCCCATCTGGGTGTCAGGCTCAGATGAGGAATCAGAGTGATTTTTATCTCTGGTATTGGAGGAGCATCGCTGGCATCCTCCCTGATATTTCCAGCAGTGGTGGGGTCCTCTGAGGGAGTTGGGTTTGTCACGACGAGATGAGGATTAATCTGTGGGGTTCCTTCTGAGGAACCTTCATCCGATCTCTCTTTGGGGTCCCCTTTGGTCTCAGTAACGTCCTCCGTTACTGTGGGGACGGTGTTGAGGAAGACCTCTGAGTTTTCCTCTAACATGTCGTGGTCGGTGTTACCCTGAATCTCCTCCACGGGATCTACCTCAGGAAGAGCAGGTGGTTCTAGTCCTAATAGATTTGGGAACTCTGCAGGATGCATGTCTCCACTCTGCTGTGGTGAATCATCAGATTCTGTTGTGCTGTTTGTATTTTCATCACTGGTGTTCAGTTGCAGAGCTGCTTCTGTTGGCACACTGGAGGGCTTCTGGGTAAAGTTATAACCTAACAAGGGAGGAACATCAGAGAGATCATTTTTATGTCTGAATGAGATGTGGTGTGAGAACAGAACATTTTTTTTTCCCTTTTGTCATGACAACTCTGGTTTGTCTGCTTGACTAGAGCTATATTTAATTAAAATATTTTGAAAAGACATAGCACTCTTTTGAGAAAGAGCAAACCTGGCTAAATGTGAAAAATTGATTAATAAATCAAAAAGTATATTAGATACTGATATGAATGTTTAACTGTGAGAACCAGCAGGCATTAGGAAACAATTATATTAACTTTGTAACGATCTTGGTTCTGTTGTTTTTCTCTAAGTTTTCAGTTTCAAGTTTAGTCAGGTTTTTCCTTGTTTTCTAGTTTTATTGGTGTGTCTGGATTCATTTAAGTTGCTTAGGTTTTTCTGTCTGTCCTTTGTCGCCCCCTTGTGTTCTTTTCCCTTGGCTTCCTCCTCAGCTCTAGTCACACCTGCTCCTTATCAGCTCATTAGTCCTACCTTTGTTCAGTCAGCCATAAATACACTCCCTCTGCAGTCCCTCTTTGCTGGTTGTTTTTTTATCCATCCATTTTTAGACATGCTTAATCCCAAGTGGGGTCACGAGGGGTGCTGGTGGCTATCTCCAGCTCTCTATGGAGTATGCTTGACTAGACTCTCTATGGAGGGGCGGGGTACACCCTGGACAGGTCAACAGTTCATCGCAGGGCAACAAAGAGACAAACAACCATGCAAACACACTCACACCTAAGGAGAATTTAGATAAGCCAATTAACCTAACAGTCATGTTTTTAGACTGAAGCCAGAGTACCCGGGGAAAAACAATGCATGCTCAGGGAGAACATGCAAACTCCATGCAGAAAGAATCAAACCCACAACCTTCTTGCTGCAAGGCACTGCATCACTGAGCAGCCTTTGTTTTTGTTTTTTTATTTTACAATCTTGCCATAATTACTGCTCTAAGTAGGTTACTCTGTCAGCTAATCTTGGCAGTTATCTCCTGATTTGCATTATTATTTTCCTTTCCTCTAATTGCCCTCGCTTTTTAAGTAGTGCTATTTTCCATATTTGTCATTTTAGGTGTACAGTTATTTAATGAATTATTTTCATTTGCGTAAAAAGGATTGATCTCTGCTTTAAACTTTATGAAACAGCTGAGCTTTTTTTTTGACCGATGAAGTAGCTTTTGAGGGATTTTACTTACTGAATTTTAAGAATCAGATCAAATGGGCCTGGATACAAAAATTTGCAAGACATTTATTTTAAAATGATAGTGAAAATTATGTATTATTATCTTATAATTTACAATGAGCTACAATTACTTTGCATTAGTCCATCAAAGAATGGAAGGAAGTACAATGAATTTTGTTATTTCAACGTGAGATGAAATGTCCATGTTAGTGGGGTATGAATACTTTTTCAAGCCAAAAACTTTCTCTTTTAGGTGAATTCCTGGATTTTACAGCTTACTCACCTGAGTCAAATGTAGTGACCAATTTAGAAGTGGACCAAGTCTCAGTTTCCATCAAACCAGAAGTCATAGAGTCCTCTGGTTCCTCCTCGAGACTATAAGAATTCCCCTCAGTGGAAACCTCTTCTGGACTCACAGTTGTGCTGCCAGCTGAAGATGGGGACAGATCGGAAACAGGAGCTTCCTCAGTTTGGGATGAAGTTGTAAAAGTTGGAATCTGTCCCTCAGTGTGAGTGGGATCTTCCTGTGGTGTTATTGACACAGCAGGTTCAATTACAGAGACACTTTTCCAAGGGACAACTGTTGTATAGTCCTCTTCTGGACCGGGCGGATCACTCCCCTCATGACCATTTTTTTCCAAATCACCTTCAGATGTGACATTAACAGGTAACCAATCAACGCTCACTGTCTCAAAGGTATGATCCTCTATGGGTACGGAGCTTCCTGATGCTTTGGTGTAAGTTATTGGTGTCGTCAGGTTCTCATTGGTAACAAAGAGTACAGGAGATGCTTCGTGTTTTTTGTTTGGGTCTTCTTCAGGTGCTGGCTGATATGAATCAGGGTAGCTCTCGTTCTTTATTAGCTCCCAGCTCACACTGGTGGAGAATGTCTCCTCCAGGTCAGACGGGGTCGTCAAATTATGAGAAGTAACTTCAGGGCCCGGTTGAACTGGATTTGTTGTTGGGGCATGGTGCATCTCTACTATCTCCTCTGGCGTTTCTTCACTCAAGCTGGCATCTCCCTGAGTGGTTTGGAAAACAATGTCTTGGCCAATATCCTCTGGCTCAGTGGCACGAACCTCTTGGGGGGATTCAGTATAAGGGCCGTTTTCACCTGTAGAGATTGAGATAACATCAGTTAAAAACCAAAACGGAACCAAAGTTCATCTTGCTAATCTCAAAAAGAACAAACCTGATCTCTTACTTTTAAAGCAGTAGACATAATGATGAGAGAGGAGATCAGGGAAGCCTGTCTGGTTGCTATAGCGATAGATGGTTTTCACGCCAGGTTCACCTCCTCCACAGCGCTCTGTGGGGATTACAATAGGGTACCGCACGCTCCCGTCCGCCAGCCATCCTGGACTGCAGTGGTCGAGTCCATCATTCCAGGCTCCGTAAAGCTGAGCCGTGGTGGCCAGCTCTGCGCCATGATTCATACAGTGGGCCTTGGCTTCCTGGAAGGTGAAGCTCTGGAGGGCGGAGCCAAGAAACACCTCACCTTTGAAATGGATGACACATCATGGTTTAATCTGGTGATGTTTTACAGACATGTTAAGGCTGATTTATACTCAGAAACCAGGTCATCTGCGTGTGTGTCGCAGTGAATGCAAATGTTCCACCTGACTCTTCCACAGACACTCTGGTGCACATCTTCAAAATTATAGGTGACCACAGACAGTGCCGCAGACAGGAGGCCTCTGATCGGTCAAATATACATTCGCTCTACATTATGATTATTTCCTGTTTGTTACCTTACCGGCTCGTATTGTTCGTATAATCGCCATTGCGGAACACGTCATTTGAAGTCGGCAGAGCTAGAAGAGCGAGGTGTACAAGAACGCTGGGACGCTTTTTCCACCTGGATCCCGGCTCTTTTTTGCCCTGATGTCCCTCCATGGTCGCACAAACTTGCCCCTTGCGTTTTTCCACTTACTCAGCGCCTCGGCCGTATCTAGACCCACAGCTAGTTCGTGATTGTCCCTCTTGTGTTTGTTAGGTTTATTATTTATACATCATGTGCATTGTTATTCTGTTAACCAGATTAGACAGAGTAGAAGGCCTTCCTTCACATTGTGGATGTCACTGTGTGTA